TTTTTTTTTGAGAAGTTGTCGCTTTATATTTCAGAACAAGAGTGGTCGAGGTCGGGGACCTCACAATTCTACCCGGTGTTGCCAAAGAACACTTGCTGGAAACGGGGTCCAGCGTCCCAAAACCACTCGACCTCAAGAGGAAGAAAAAACTCCTCAAAATAGCCTTGAAGTACAGAAAAAGGCGGCTGAACTAATCATGACTAAACTCTCCCGTCCTTCAGCCTATCATGTAATATCCTTGCAGCGCAGAAGAACACCTGGATGTTTCTAAGATAGAAACACTATTAGCAAAGAACTACGAATTATGATCTGCAAATCTCAAAGATGCACAAGGCAATTCACAGAAATTTACAGTTTTAACCCTAAAATTATTTCGAAGGGCAGACTAAATTATCCCAAAATTCCAACCAAGTACATACTAATTCGACTGGGCGTCCTAATATTGTCTTCAGAAATAAACAATTAAAAAACAACCAATGCAAATTCCAAGATGTATCAAACTAAGATAAGAATCTCCATAACTAAAACTAACTATTCTTATACTAACTATAGTCGACTGACGGTCCCACCACTAACGATGGCACTCACACTGCCCCCGTAGTGCCGCTGTCGATAAAGGGTGAGCCGAAGGAATACCATCTCATCCTCACTGACCCATACACTGTAAAGAGCCTTTGTTGCCAAGACGGGTTTCCCACCACGCACCCAGTGGATACAACTCTAGTCTGCTCTTCACCTGGTCTCTCATTTCTTCCAACCATTGGTGTTCCACTGCTCCCTCTTGCGAACTATTCTTATACTAACTATGATCGACTGACGGTTCCACCACTATCGATGGCACTCACACTGCCCCCGTAGTGCCGCTGTCGGTAAAGGATAAACCGCAGGGGTACCTTCTCATCGTCACTGTCCAATACACTGTAAAGAGCCTTCGTTGCCAAGAAGGGTTTCCCACCACGCACCCAATGGATACAACTCTAGTTTGCTCTTCACCGGGTCTCTCGTATCCTCCCACCATTGGTGTTCCCCACTTCCACTGTTCCCTCGTGCTAACTATTCTTATACTAACTATAATCAACTGACGGTCCCACCACTAGCGATGGCCCACCTTCTCATCATCGCTGTCTAGAACACTGTAAAGGGCCTTCGTTGCCAAGACGGGTTTCCCACCACGCACCCAATGGATACAACTCTAGTCTGCTCTTCACCGGGTCTCTCGAATCGTCCAACCATTGGTGTTCCCCCTGCTCCTTCATACTAACTCTTCTCACGAAGAAACCAACCTTATCAAGAGGCAGAAATTCCTACAACATACAAGGAACGAAAGTCATGAAGTTACCCCCATACATCTATCAAGAGACAGACATTCCTACAACATACAAGGAATGAAAGTCACGAAGTTACACCCATATATCTCAGAAAACTATTATCCCTTTCTCTCAATCGTAAATTATTCCAACAATACGTGTTTCTAAAAATGAAACACTACGGGGAGCCTCCGCGCCAGGAAAGGGATAGGAAATAAACGAGCGTTAATTAATTAAAACCCCACTTTAGTTAACTAACAGAAAGCACTACACGAATAACCCAACTCTGAATGACAGGAAAGAGGTCATCATCTAGAGTCCATTCTCCCTGAAATCCATAACGAAATGTAAGAACCTAGTGCCTAATACGTATA